CCGCCTCCTCCTCTTCCTCCTCATCCTCCTCCTCCTCCTCCTCCACCTCCATCCTCCTCCTCATCCTCCCCCTCCTCCCTCCTCCTCCTCCTCTCCTCCCCCTCCTCTTCCTCCTCCTCCTCCTTCCTCCTCCTCCTCTCTCTCCCTCCTCCCCCTCCCCCCTCATCCGCCTCCTCCTCCTCCTCATTTTCCTCATCATCCTCATCATCCAAATCGGCCCCCCCATCGGTTCGAGGATTGCACGCCCGCTCGCGGCCGCACCTAGTCGGAAGTGAAACTCACCGAGCAATGGACCTCACGATGGGGCGAACGAAATCACCTACCCTCACTGCGATGTGCGTGTCCACGATATCATCTGCGACTGTGATCTCGAAGCTGCCCCCAACACTCATGAGCGTTCGATCGCGCGCCGTCGGCTCCAGGACCTGGCCAATCACGTAGCAGACGGGGACAATGTGGTCCGAAGAAAACCGCGCCTCCAAGAAACCGAACAAAGACATGAACATATCACCACCCCCACGCTGCCTGACTGACGCAACCTGGCCACATCGAAGGGTCCCCCGCGACCACGCCATACTCTTGGACGCAAACAGCTTGGTCGGCAAATGCGAGGGATCGAAAAACTCCATAAGTTCAGGCGTTTCCTTCATGGGGCCAACCAGGTGCTCTGACACGGCGGGGGCGCCGCGAATGCGATCCTCTAGGTCCAACAGGATGCGGCCCATCACCGATGCCGAAGGTTCACTGACGTGCGTCACGTGCACGCAAACAGCCTTTAGCAGGCGGTTGCGCCTCTCATTAGAAAAACAGTTGAAGTTCACCCCCGCCCTCGTTATAACATCTGGAACGTGGTGGCACAAATGGGTCTTTATCTTCACGTATTCTGGCCCATAAAGTTTCAGCATGAGCACGTGATGTTTAGAAACCAAGTTCGCAGGCGTGTCGCAGTGGCGAGTGGCGGCGTCTCCCATGGTCAATATGTCCAGGATGCCCCCTAACGTTCGCATGCACTCGGCGTGCTCCCTAAGCGCCGCAACCGCTGTTTGGTCGCGAACGCGGGGTAACACATGATTGCACCAATATGTCATGACAGTGACGGCCGTGATTGTTTCCCCCGCAAAGGCTTTAGTAAAGAATGCTTTATCAGGATTCTTTGCACTGGTTTTCGTCACCACTCGCTTCTGCCAGAAATCTGAAGGCAACGGAGCAACCTTACCATTCTTTTCTAACAACTTTGCCGAGAACGTGTCTAAATCCTCTAACCGAATGCCGTGACCAATGAGCGTTAACGCGAAACCATTCAAGTTGTACTGCGCAGTGCCAGTCGAGGCAACCACGCAGTGCATCCAATCCCACATCGTGGACGAATGTGGGGCGTAATGCTCCCGAAGCTCCCGATCAAACAACAGCGACTCTGGGTCGTAATGCAAACCATACACCTGCTCCTTCACGGCCATATCAGTCTTGTTTGCGGTTGTAGAAAAGGCAGCCAATTTGTCAACCATCTCCCACACGGACGCGTCCGTGTGTTGAACGAACTGATGGGGAAGCGCCTTCTTATAATGACGAACGAACTCGTTACCTTCTATCTTCGATTCGTCGCCCTGATAGATGTTTTTGCATGAACTGCAACACTTGTTGCCAGACGCGCCAAATACAAGCTTCATCTCCTTAAAAGCTTTCTCGTCTTGGATGACGAGACCTAATCGGGCGCGGACTAGAAATTCACCACCCAGCGCAGATTTGACTAGGAACCCTGTTTTAAAGTTAATCGGCTGGAGGAAACATCGGCGGAACACGAAACGTAATAAACCAGAATACTTGGATTTCACTTTCTGGAGCAGGTCCCACTTCATGAAGCCAAGCGGGAACCAGCCGTGATCGGACGTGCGCCAGGCCTCGGGGAGCTCCTTGAAAACCCAATAGATGGCAACGAATTTGGTCCTGGAGTCATGGCGGTTCTGATTGCCCGCCGTGGTTTCGCCCCCCCAGAACACAAGCGAGCCAACCCGATTGGCCAGGTGCTGCGCCATCAAACTGCTGAACCCGACCGATATCGAACATAAGTACCACACCAGAGCGAACGGGTTCGCGATTGTCCAGTCCACGTGCGTGCCATCAGTCAAAGGCACGCGCAGCTTCTCCATGAGGTACCCATAGGGGGTCCGAAGCTTGCTCGCATACTGTTGCGTGCACGAAACCACTGATGACCCGCTCACACCAGGGCCCGCCTCCTCGGAAGCAATGGACCCGAAAGCTCGCTGGATTGCACGCACGGAGCTGCGCAAACCAGCTTGCTGAATCGTTCGTATGCTGACTCGCGGTTTCTTGCTGGGTGGCTGCATGGCTGCTTGAGCCTGCTGCCTACATATGACAATGACGCAACGATGGTGGGTGATGTTATGACCGATGGGATGTCCTGCTCATGAGGGCGAGGAGGCACTCGTCATCACCCCCTCCCCTTCTCCTCGTCCGTATCGGTGTTCGGCTTCTCTCCCAC